GGGGGGGGGGGGACGCGGCCCCCCAGCCCCGCCGTGGTCGCTAGCAGGAGAAGTTCTACCCGAGGGGAGGCCAACAAGAGCAGGGCGTGACGAACCAGCAGTCTTCGCAGGGTGTTTTTGTTAGGTAAACATGTTAGATAAAGCATGCAATCGGGGAAGTTGGGTTAGGGGAGGGTTAGGGATGATAAGGGTCTGCGTACCCCCTCCCTGATCTATTTCCTCGTTAACTTAGATGTCTCGTGACAGCGGTCCTGACGGACGGGCGGCGTCGTAGCTGACAGACTGACTGACTGGCCCACCTGGGTGTCTGGGGATGTTCGCGGTAACTGAGTTGTGGAGTGCTGCGGCAAGCCTTGACGTTGTTGGCGATAACTGACTTGTGGAGTGCTGCGGCAAGCCTTGGGGGGATGTTGGCGATATCCTGGCTGTGGAGTGCATTCGCCAGCTGTTGCTGATGGAGAGGTTTCTGTCTGCCGTTGTATGATGCTCGCGGTAGGCGATACATACTAGACCCCGTCTTGGCGATACATACTACGGGACCCCACTGGATTTCGAGTCCATGTCAAGAGCAGCAACGGGCCGGCGGGCACGGATGCAGCGCCATGCTTCTACTGCTCTTGCGGTCGGGGAAATGATGTATCCTCATGCCCCCGATGTCGTTGTCGGCACACCGGGGTTTTCACGCCCTAAGCATGTACAAGTACCTGGTTTGCATACATAGATTTTGGCAAGATTGAACGGCTGAACTTCTCTGCAACGTACGAAATTATTGATGTTTATTGATGTTTGTATCAGTATGGGTGGGTGTGCGCCAGGATCACGGACAAGGGTTGGGCAGCGGGGAGGAGGGGGGGGGGATCTTGGTAATGTAAGGCCACGTATTTTGTTGTAGTAAATATTTTGCACGGTAGTCTACAATATTGGTGCCTCTTAGATGTTGTGGAGCTTGGTGGGGTGCAGTCGCACTGTAGTACTGTAGTAATCGATTCTTGGATGGATATGTGGATGGACGGATGCCGGAGATTGCACGTTGTGACCATGATGCATCGAGCTCTTCTGTCAAGCGCGTTGCTGGTGTGGCGCGAGGAAGGAGGAGTTTTTGTTTGTTGACTTGGTTGTGTTTGGTGTGTGTGTGTCTCCAGTAGCATGATGATGTGGTTGGTGTCTGATATGATGGTGTGGGGTTCGTCCGCTGTTGCCAAGCGAAGGACAAACGGACGGGCTTGAAAGAAATTTGATGATGTGCGAAAACAGCACACCTTGCCATCGGTTTGTGCGAACTATAATGGTAGATCGGAAGGTAGGCAGGCCGATGTCCGTTTGTGCACATGGATCATGATTGCATATGCACCGATGATCAGGCCTTGATGTTTTTTCGGGCGGCAACGTCGTGTCCTGCGGCAAACACAGCGAAAGGCCTACTTGATTGATTGTGAACCAAGAGGAGAATTACCCAAGTTAGACTATAATAATATTCCATTAGGAGAAAAGGTGCCCGCAGTTTTCTGATTGGCCAATCTTTTTAAAGGAAGGTTCCAGAGAAAGGCGAATATTCCGTGCTCGTCCGATGATGTCACCCACGGTCATGAGATTCAAAATTTTCAAATTTTCAAATTTGCCGTGGATGACTGACTGATGACCTCACACGACAGCCAAGGGATATCAGCCATCATCGTCCCTCAAAAATAAACAGGTTTCCCACCATCACCAGTGATGATGACGACACATGCATGCTCTCTATCTCGTCATATTTTTTGTTGATTGGCCCCAAGCAAGTAGAGTCGGAGTTTGATGTACTCTGCAGCCTACAGCACCAGAAGAAGCAGCAGCAGCAGTAACGCCACAAACGGACACACGACAGCAGCAGCAGCAGCAGCAGCAGCAAGCACCAACCACGCACACTGACTGCTGCGAGAAAGGTATGGAGGAGGTGGTGTGCCAAATCGCCTATCGATCGCAGGATCTCCTCAGTCAGGGCTCAGATGTGTTGGATGGAATAGGCTAGGCCGACCGGTCATTGAGGCATCACGAGGAAGGCTGAAAAGGGACCCAGCGACAGCAGGAGAGAAGGCGAAAGCTGGTGTTTACTTTTGGTCATTCATCTCCAGACTTGCAAACGTTACCCACTCACCTCTTTGGTGCGGTGCCTACCCTACACTAATGCGCTGGTGCATACTGCACTGCTGTAGTACCTGGTACTGGTGTACGTCGTCCTTCGATTTTTTTATTTTTTTGTGGGAATATATATGTGTTTGTTTTTCGCCCCCCGTCTTGCTGCACCCCCTGGGGTGTGGTGCAGGGCGGGGGATGCCTGGTCGGCGGGAACCCGGCACGGAACCCTCCGGCGTTGTAGGCGGGTGTGGGAAGCGTTCCCCGTTCTCCTTTTATTTTATTTTGATCGGTCTCCTCGACGCTCTTTCTCGTTTGGTGCGGTAGCTGGTCTTTCTTTCTATCATTTTGTTTCTCTTCCGAGTGGTTTTTGTACCCTATTTTTTTCTGTTTCTTCGTGGGGTCGTGTATGCCGGGTTTTGAGACCACGGGCTCCCAATCTTTTTCTTTAGAGCTAATGTCTAATGTCAGTGTTATTTGGTTTGCAGAATTCCTCTAAATTTGCGCCGTTGGGGGGCACGCAGAGGGGGTGAACCTCCCCTCTACGAACCCCCGAAACCACTTGGCTTTTGTGTATCCACAAAGCTTCGGCACACGGAAGCCGATAGCTCGGCCATCAGGAGGTGATCCCAAACAGGACTTCGAGGTCGTGTGGATCAGGTATGGAACTAAAGATATGGCCCCTCTCTGGAACGTGATGCTACTTCTAGCACTAGATCTTGGCATCGCACAGAAAGGTCCAATATGCAGCACAGGGTACGCAGCGGACAAATAGCGTTTGAATTCGCATAGATGCACATGGCGCTACCTCGTGGCCCCGCTCTAGCCCAAAGTCGCCTCCACCCCTGTGCGAGTGCCGGGGATCATTGGACTAGCCCACGATAAGAACGTGTGTTAGCGTTAGCACAATACGCACGGTCCACGGCAGCAAAGGCTCCGTGCTGGGTGTATTGTGTGCAGGAAGCGCCTGTGTGGTACGCCAGCACATGCATGACCACGAAGCACATGACACGCAGCACAGAGGGGCACACCCGTTGCGACCTAAGAACACCATGCACATGTGATGTCCAGTCGATGCGTAGCGTGCTTGAGGTCGAGGCCGTGGTCAATTGTTTCGCAGGGGTTGATTATTCTCTCCTGAACAATTATAAACACGAAATAAAATTACTTCGAAGTAGGTGGACTAGATTATTATAGTCTTTATTGTACTCTGTATCCTGCGTACTACTTTTTTTGTGTACAGCAGTCGTCTGCTGGGAGATCCTTGAGGGGACAGTTC